CCAATAACAGGCAAATTCCAAGTCCTTCCACTTCAGGGTCGCGTTGATCGCTCTTTTCCGAATCATCGATGTGCTCGTTTTATCTACCTTCTTCAGTTACTTTTTTAACTCCAAGTTGAAATAACGTGCGAGAACCTTTCCACCTTTCTTTGTCTCTTTTTTTTCGCTCCTTTTCTGCGCGCCGGATTTGTGTTTGTATGAGGACATGGTACTGTTCGCTTTTCTCATTTCTATCATTTGGTAAAATTCTCAATATAATTCTGATGAAAATGAATGATGACTAAAAAATTTTTCTAACGATGAAATGAGCTCATGCACGAGATATGTAGCAAGATTCATTAAAATTAGATCATCATTCTTGTTAATGCTTACTTTGGATTCGGACAATAGCATGACGTTGTTAACGAATATCTAACGAACAATAAAGAGGTTACTTAACTTTCAAAGGGGCCACGATACTTTATATTAAGGCTTTGAGATAAATATTTGATGTACAGAGATTTTAAAGTAATAACCAATTTCTATGAATCAATATCTTTACGGGCCTCTTCGGGCCCGGGGCCCTTGATCCCGAACCTTTTACCCCCTCTACACCCTTCTTGACACTCCTGGGGCTGAAGCCCCCAGTTTTTCGTCTTTTTTATTATTTTTCAAAACAAAGTATGAAATAAAAAGAGAAAAAACTGTTTATATACGGCTTGATTTTCTTTTATCAATTTACTAACTTCTTCAGGTATCTTTCTATTATGTGTATGCTATTTGTGTCCATTCATTCAGTAGATAACTTTCTGTATCATTGCCTGCATTTTGGATGTGCAAACATGACCTACTGAAAATACTCGAGGCAAAGAAGATGCACATTTCTGTACAGGAAGTAAAATTCTCTCAATCAATGCAACAGTTTCTTGTTATTCACATCGATGTGCACTCTGAACCAAAGGTCACTCTTTCTTTCCAATGTCTGTCACTAGAGTTTTAGCATGAACCCCCCTTCCCATATCCTCTTAGTTGTCTGATATATGATATATGCGCAAAACAACCAACCTATTTTAACAAGAACTTTTTAAAGAAATATGATTCTTTTTAGCATAAACAGAAGCATATTACAATCTTAAGTACCCTGCCCATAAGCCCCGTACAATTTCTTAAAGTGTGCATGGGCCTTTTTAATAATGCCCCACCACTCAAAAATCCTTAAAAAATCTTGAATGAAGAGGATCAAAGAGCAAAGTTTTTCTTGGACTGATGAGGAGACAGGTCTACTTCTGAAATTTGTACTTGAGTACAAAGTAAAATGAAAAATTTTCTCACTACAGAGGAAGAGCAATTGTCGCAAAACTTCATCATAGGATTGCGCACAGAAATCCCCGCATCTTGGATCCATACCGACATACCGATCCGATCCAGTAACTATGGTATAAACGCAAACATCAAAAATGAGATCGGAATGGATCCAGATGGATCCGATACTGTTTTGACCCGATCCCGTGTAAACAGGGCCGAGGAGATTCATGGTAGGTGTGCATAGGGACGTCAATTGAAGTGGATATGGTGGATGCTTCATTCCCCTCAACTACGAAAATAGCTAGGAATTGCCAGCGTGAGCTTGGGCTGGAATATGGAATAGATTTCACCTTTGGTCGATATTTGTGTCTTTTTTTAAAATCATACAAGAAGGCAAGCACCGAGGAAAATAGGAAAATTTATGTAATGCGAACCGCGCGTTGCCACACAGCCTTGTGCCGGGAGGGATCTGGAATCCAGTTTGTTGCTAAAGTAGTGTGTCAGAACAGAAATACGACAGTACACTCCTGTTATAGAGTACCGAAATGATGACATTATAAAAATCTATTTTTAGAATTTCTGAATTTTGATCAGTTGAAGGCATTACGAATTGGCTGAGATATGGCCACATTAGCACAGGCTTATGCCCCATCAAATCTCGGTAATTTGGTCTTGGTTCATAACTTTATGAACCAGGCCAGAACAGCAGTAATCCGTTAGCAAACTTGAAATCTTTGTTAAACAATAGATTGTCCTGTTGCGTGTCAGTGATGTGATTCTTAATTTTGTAAGTGCTCCTCTTGTTAATCTGTAATCCGTTACCATGCCATTTCTCATTAGTTGCCATCACTTGTTGTCAGCGTCCTATTGTCTTTTGGTCATGTGTTACTCATTATATTGCCATGCTGTTTTATGTTGAGTCAGTCAAGAAAATTCGTGATATGTAAAGCCGAGAAGTGAAGTCGTGTCGAAGCCGTTCCGTTTTATGAAGTTGCAGTTAACCGTTAAATACAGTCAGTGGCGAAGCCAAAGGTCCTGCTGGTCCTGCTGAGCAGGACCAAGAATTTCCAAAGATAAGACTTACTGTAAACAATAAACAATTTCTTCTTTGCAAAAAGGAAGTTTCAAATTCTTTTTGATAAACAGTCCCCAGTTCCGCCAGCTGATACAGGCATCCCGTGCTAATCTCAAGGTCCTGTTCTCTTCTACGGCAGCCCTGTATTTTGGTCCTGCTCATAACTATGATACCCTATGTTTGGTCCTGCTTCACAATGGGCTTTTGTGAATTTAGTCCTGCTTCACAATAGTCTAGAACAAAGAGCAGTCCTGCTCAATCTCGGGAGCAGGACCTCGTCGAAATGACCATCATAACATTTCGTAAGCAGTTGTGATTTGATTGGTCGAGGGTTTACCTACGTAGGTCAAAGAGCATTGTTTTGAAAACCTTTGGTCCTGCTATTTCTGAGAGCAGGACTGCAAGAATTGCCCTGTGCATTCTCGTTCTGCTATGAGATACTAGCAAGGAGGCCAGTTCAAGTATTATGGCGAGGCGATGTGAATGCGGATTTTCTGCTTGCTTTGGCAATACCAATGATATTATTATTGACAGCAAAACTTGCCTCAGTTGAGCTGCATAAATTTTATTTGTAACAAGAAAGAGTCCAAAGTTCGCAAGAAAGAAATGTAAATAACAAGAATTGGCTGTATGAGGCACTCTGATTTCGGCCTTTGTACGATCGTTTGAGGCACGGTATATCATGGTGGCCTAAATAAAATTTTCTTAGACTTGGACAAGGACGATGAAAGCATAATTGAATTTACTGTTGTGTGATTGAAAGTTTTGAGTTGGAGAATAAACCAATTTCAGCGGAATTTGCATTTTTCTACCTGAATTGTTTTCTCGTCTAATGGTTTATCTAATAAAGTTGTTTTCATTGATAATGCGACACATTATTCGATTGTACCTCTCTTTATCAGCTGCAGAATAATTGTTCTGCAGAATATGTGAACTTGCCCCTACAGACTTTAAACTCTGTTGTTTATTAAAATTATTTTAATAGAGTATCTAGATTGGTCAGGTTTATATTATGTGTGGAATACCACAAATATATGATATGCAACTTCAAATGCCACCCCTACCCCCCTTTTATCGTCAAATTTAATTATCACCAATTTGAACTTTTACTTCAGCTGTAGAGGCTTACTACAATTTAACATATATTTGTTTGAAAAGTAAGCACCCTAAAGCACGTCTTTAAGTATGGGTTTATTTTTGAAAAGATAGACATCGATTTAAAATTTGCTTTTCACTGAATTTAAGAAAAAATTCATCTGCAAAATAGAATTTTTGTCCATAGGCTTTTCCAATTGAATAAGGGCGTGGCCCTGTCCATATAGCAGGACCAACAATTTTTGGCTAGCTTCGCCACTGAATACAGTACAGTGTACCCGCCGAACATTATTGCCGCCGACGAATATTGCTTGTTGTATTAAATTGCTGAACTATTGCTTGTGGTTTTTATCGCTGATTATTCATATGTTCTGTTTCTTGTTGGAATAAACTGTTGTTTCCTTTGTACTGGACTAACCAGGGCAACTGTAAAACAGTGTCGTTTTACATCTTTCATTGGCCATATCTCGCCCAATTTGGAACATATCTAGCTAATTTTGCACATTGAGAGGTTTTTTATGCTGTTCTTTCAGATTATTTGGCCAAATTTAAGATGTTCTAAAAATAGATTTTTGGTGACGTCACACTTCGGTACTCTATAGGCACGCCAAATGTTGCTTGAAAACTTGTGACTGTAAACTGACTGTGACACTGTGAACGGGGCTATTTGGGTCTACATTTTATTTAAAAGCTTTGCATATTTGGGTCTAAATTTGATCTGACTGTAACCGGAGTCGACGATAAGCGGAGTCGACTGTATACTGTTTTGAAAATCTATTATTATTTTTTATGGATGTTATAGGGTGTATTGTGTAAATTCCTATTTTTCAAGCTTGTGATCAAGTAAGGGAAGTGGTGAAGCCTCATTGGCCAACAAAATGAGTAAGAAATACTTTCTTTGCTGACAAGTTTGAAAGTTTGAAAGACAGCCATTATAACCAAAGACTATGAGATTGATAAATTTTGGCGGGCACAGCACAACTATACGCATGCGTATTACCATTTAATCATCTTCGATCAATCAAAATCAATATCAATCACAACTTTCATTTAATTCGCTGCGGCAGAAAAACGGCGTCTGAAACCAAGCCGCATTTCTGCTGAAATTGTTATTTAAATGCGGCAGAGCTACCGCATTTCTACCGCGTTAAATTGATAAATTCTTATTCGGTTTCAGACGCCGTATTTTTGCCGCATTTAATTGACACTTGACACAAATGCGGCATATGAACTGGGCCTTAGCTACTTTCTGTCATCTTTCCAACTTTTTCAGTCCTTTGTCTAAAATTTAAAGTTCTTATAAACATACATTTTCATAGCCTAAACTGCGTTTATTTTAAGATTTTAATCTCGGATAGCCAATTTCAAACTTGTTCGGATAGCTAGGGTAAAAGCTACGCCAATCTGTTCAGCTGAATGAATTTGATGCCGATGAGATTTATCCGGCACTGGATAGCCGTTAGGTTTCTTCGGACAGTTCCCCAGAGAGCAAAAGAGGTAGCTCTGCGCACTCTTGTGTAAAACCAATATCCAACTATTGTTGTAGATCATTCAAATGTGAACAAAACAATGATTGAAATTTAAATTTCGCTCTGTTTAGCAGAAAAACGTTTGTTAGTCATAGTTCTAGGCTTCTCTCATTCTCAACGATGGCTTCGTACACACCTCCATCCCGCTCTCAAAGAGCGCCAAGTTACTCGGGTATGTTCTTATCTTATCGTAAATATTTATCAGTTCTTGATATTTCAGGTTTCAGCTGATTCATATGTTTCCATGTTGGTTTTTAAAGGGACTATTCTAGTTCTATGCAGCATGTGAGTTTGTAAATACTGTTTTTAGATGGAGGATTATGTGATTCAAGTAAGATTACGTATTGTTTTAACAGTACGGTGGAGCCATTGCCCGAATAGTAAGATCTATCACTAGGCCAGTTAATCGACATTTCTTCCTTGATCTATCAATGGTACTATTCAACCTGTCCTTCCACATCCTCTCTTCGACGCGTAAACATTGCAGGTTGTCACAATGGCTGCTTTGAAAAGAAATGCATAATCTGCCCACCAGCTTTGCCCCTTGTTACCTGACGAATATTTCCTACATTCACTGTCTTACTTTTTCTTCTTGTCATTCGAAAGTCGACCTCGCTTTAAAGTTTATAACATACGTTAAAATCGGCTCCGTCTTAATTGTAGAAGAACATGGGAATTATCTCTTGACAAGCCATTTTGTTTTATCCTACAATAACACTCAGGAAAGGCCTGGTAAACAGGCATTTCCATGCATATGACCCCACTTCACGTCCATCAGCTTTAGCAATTCTTATGTTTTGTTCCATTCTACATTCTTGATATAGGAATCTACAACCTTCAACCTTTGTTGAATTGACTTTTTACAGTCACTCAACAGTCCAGGGAGTTTACTGCATCCTATTATGGCCTAATTTGGGACGCTCGTCGGCGCAGATCGTTAGGCGTGTGAAAAATTTGGCGCAGTATTTGGGGGAATATTAGTGCATGCTGACTTGAAATTGCAGTATATCCATATATTATTATCGGAGTTTTGATACGCCTCCTTTGAAACTTAGAAGACACTTCATTTCTGTGAATGAGTTTTTATATAGCTGCCCTTTGTCTGTAAAATATTGCATTATCGTTTGGATAGTAATAAATTCCAGAACCATCAAAGACGTTCTGATGATTCTTTATGGTTTGTGTCTAATTTGTTGCCGGTAGCAGAACGCAGTCTTAATTTGTATTACTGAGACTCATCTAGAGAAGATCATAATATAGTAGCCATTTTGAAATATTATGCCACCAATTATTGGATTGAGACACGTCTGCCAATGCCTATAAACCAGTTCTTCTGGTATAGTTTGAAGAACCATTTCCTTTATTTCTGTAAACAAAAAATTTGACAAATAGCAATCGGAATGCTGAAATTACCTTTGAATGTCAATCGACAAACACCCAAGTCCAAGGATTTCATAATAGAAGGCTACCGTGAGGTCGTCGTTCTACAACTATGTTCACAACATAGAAATAATTTAACTGTTGACTTGCGATGCTTTCATAACTGAAACTTTTCATGCTCCCTTGAAGAGATATTTTTTCCCATGTTAAAAATTTGAAGGCTTACATACCCATGATATCAAATTTCCCATAAAAGGATAATGACGTCATAAAATGATGATGTCATCATTAAAAACGTTAAGAAGTAGGGAAATGGTAATTCAATACAAAATCAGTGAATATGTGCTATTCGAATATGGAATTGTTTGACAATTATATTTGCGAGAAAACAATTAAGGGGGTTCAAATTAAACTTACCCTAAGTTGATGACGTCATCAAAAATTTTGACTTCCTTTGAAATCTGGAATGCAGTGGCGTACCCAGGGCTGTAGAAGTGGGGGTGTCTAGGGCGTAGCCCCAAATTTTTTGGGAGACCACGCCCTTCAAACACTCGCAAATGCGGGGAAACGCACTTTTTGCGAAATTTTCCCCCATTATTTGATTCATGTTAGCTACGGTGAAAAGCAAAGCATTTTACAATTGTTATTGACACAAGCATATAGTATACTACCCCCCCCCCCCTAATGAGTTTTACATCGTTTTTGGACAAATCTCGAGGACCACATTTTAGAAAAGTGGGGGAGTCCGGACCCCCCATTCCCCCCTTGGGTACGCCACTGTTGGAATGTGGAGTAATATTTGTGGTTAAACAGTTTGCTAGTTTTTCTACAAAATTCCCTGTTTATAAGAGCCCAAGAAAAAAGCAAAGATCACCAAAGCTGTCAAAATACTTTGGAAAAAGGCTATGTGATATCAAAGGTATCGGTCATTCAATTGAAGGTTTCGCAAGGCAGTTGTAACAGAAAAGAAGAAATGGAGACATTTTGTTAAAAACCCAAAATATGAAGCAAGGAACTGAAAGGATTTTTCGAAGTTTTAGTCTCTATCTACTTCAAAGCGAATTCCAGCCCCTATCTCTTTCAAATCTTCAGTCGCTATGATCATCTAAAGTCTATTCAAATAGTAATTTTTCTTACTTATTTTTACATTCAAGCAATTTAGTACTCTTCCCATCCCTATGCCACTTGAAACACATAACTCTTTTAACCTCCATGGAATATTTTTTAAAAGCTACAAAATTTCAAATTCAAGTCATATTCACGCAATTGGCCGAAGGTGCGGGCACGTTCCTTACTGCCAAAGCGAAATAAATTTGCAACGTTGATTTGATTTATCTCAACAGTATTTTCTTTATAATAAGTATCACGACAAATAAAAAAAGGCATCTTGTTTAAACAGTCGACAACTTCTTGTTATAAATCCGATAATTAGACAAATCCGGTATTCGAGATAATGACGGTCATTCGACATAATTCATCAATATTTAGTTCTTTATTCTAATTTTCAGTGGTGTTAAAACAGTTTTTCATAAATGGACCGGATCCAAGTTCTCCATTCTAAAAAAAGCATTCAGGGGCAAATTTGAGTTGAGGTCTGACCCTTGTCGTTTTCAGCATGCCAAACTACGTATCTCTACCACTTTTTAGCCATGATGAATGCTCCTTAAATGGACTAGGTCCAAGTACCCTATTCTAGAAAAATGGAATTCAGGGGCAAATTTGAGTTGGGATATGACCTATATCTTTTTCAGCGCATCAAACTGGGTAGGTGTGCGAAATTTCATGCTGGTATCACGATTTGCATGATCGAGCTTTTTTTGTGACTTTAGAGCCTCGACTAATATGACTTTTTCATTTTTCGTGATACTTGTTATAAAGTTTATTAACAAGCTGTGGTTTCCAAAATCTCAGTCTTTTCTTTGTGTACCGAAAAAATCATGCAGTGGTTGAGTCACTAATGAACGGAGCAAGTTTATAACTCTCCTTATACTTTCAGTCATTGCCAAAAGAACTTGGAACACCCAGCGATTTGCGTTGTGTTTTCACATTTTTCAGTTTTTCCCAGGTACTCTTATTTATGCACCCCCTTCCCCCTAAACAATGTTGTTAATTTAGAAAATATCACAGAAGTCGCAGAAAAAAGCGTTCTTCCTAATCCCCTATGTCATTTTGTAGTAAACCAACGTTTTTTAAAGGGGGGGAGAGGAGGGGCTGAATTTGTCCTCGGCGGTCTCCTTTGCAGTTGATTTTGTTCATCACTGGATCTTGTACCTTTTGCATCATGACCATCTGCATCATGAAATATATTTGCATCAAGAACTTAAAGGAAATTTAAGTGAATAGTTCTCCAACAGTGCCTAGATTTAGATTATTTTACTTAACTTCTAAAGGCAGAATATTTGGCAGTGAAAAATACACGCAATATAATTTCCAGAAAGGGGCACTCTTTCACTTTTTCGCAATCAAGGGGGCATGTGCCCCCGTGGCCCCCCTGACTCCAGCGGCCCTGAATCAGTCGAAATTAACTCTATACGAGAGTGAAATCCAGGAACAGGCATTTGGTGATTTAGAGGTACATCTCTACTTGATAATTATTGATCATGTTACAGCAGAGATAAAAAGGCGATTAAAGTCAATTGGCGATATATGCGGGAGACTCACTTTTCTTTGGCTATACCCAAGGATAAAGGAAGATGACCTAGCAAAGAAGGTGCCAAACCCCGCGCAGCATACAATTATGACATATCTCCTGACATCACTGACGACGAGTTTCTAAAGAGCATCCATTCTGGGAATAGATGCAAAATTGCAATATTGCTGAAGATGCAATAGCTGACGAGTTGTTTCAACCATTGCAGCTGTTGAACAAGCTCGAGCATTTGAATTTGCAAAGCTTATTCCCTAATGCTTTCATTGCATTAAGGTTGTTTCTGACTTTGCCTGTTTTTTTATTCTTTCTTTATTTAAAGTTGGTACAATTTCTAGATATGCATACTCAAGCTAATTAAAATCAACTGATTTAAATTACCAGCGCTCAATATAATGTAATCAAATACAACTGATGTTGCTAAGGTACTTCTGGCAAAGATTACAAGTGCAATTAAACGATGTAAATTCTGAGATTTTTTTCTTGAATATTTGTAAGGTAGGGAAGTACTTTATCTCATTTGGAACTGAGTTCCATATTTGGCTACATCTGTATGATACGGTATTAAATCCATATATTTTGTGATGTGGCTCCGCTGTTATGAATTGTGAGTTTCTTGAGTAATATGGGCCTTTATTTAATGGAAAATATTTCACCCATAAAAGGTGTAATATTTTGTAAAGTTCTATCGCAAGATATTGTAAATTTTTCTTATGAGAAGTTATTGTTTTATTCTTTATCAAAAGTTGTTCAAAAGTTGATTCATAATCATTATGAGCTATTCTCATTGCTCTTTCATGAATCCGGTTTATCCGGTTATTACTTTTCCTACTGCAAAACATCCAAATAAGAGGACAATAATTAAAATATGATAATATGAACGTTTTCATTAAAAGAATTCGCTTAGATTTGTCCATATACGAAGCAATCCTGGCTAGAGCGTTTACCTTTTTCCCAGCTTCTTTACAAAAAACTTTAATATGTTATTCTAATCTAAGTTGATGTTCTAGTGTTACTCCCAAAAATTTAACATTCTTTCTTTCTATTAAAGTAGAACCATTTATTTGAATTATAGATTCCTCTAAATTGGATCGATTGGCTTTAAAAGTTATAAGCTTGCTTTTATCGCCATTGAGCACCAAACAATTTTCATAAAACCATTTATTAAGAATAGCTGCTTTCGATTCTAAGTCGATTCATATCAGGTCTTGACAGCCAAATTGTATTGTCATCTGCGTAGTTGCATAAGTTGCTTTTGTTTAAATGCAGAAAAATATTGTTTATTTATATATTGAGTTTATTTTTACTCATTGTACTCTTTTATCTAGACAACTATAAATAAATTCCATTGCGTTGTCGCTGAAGCCATAAGATTTCAATTTAGCTAGTAGAAGTATATGGGGTAAACAATCAAATGCTTTTGATAAACCCATAAGCACTGCACAAGCCACATCTTTTTTATCCAGGCACTTTTTCAGGCCTTCGATAAGTCTTAATAAAGCGTGTTGTGTGTTGGTGTTCAATCAGCTGAAAGAACAATTTCATTAAAAATTACCTTCGCTCTACCATTGGCCAAAATTGGTTTCAATGTCCATGGAAACTGATATTGCAAAAAAAACCTGACTATAGCTTCATAATTGACGACAGATGCAAAGACATTGCTTAAATAGGTACATTGATCAATAGAAATTGTTTTGCAAATTTAGAAGAAAATTACCTGAAGCTGCTAGCGCGGTTTGAGAAAGCTTTGGAAAGAATTGGGTTGATACTGTTTCTGCTTCTACCTTATTTATTTATAGACTTTTATTGTTATTGTTGGTATTTATTAATATTTTTAATTAAGTTATTATTTTTTGGCCCTTATAGCCATCGGCCCTTGGGTCAGCGACCCCCTCGCCCCCTCTCCTCAGCACTACTAAGTCAAAGGCTTGCTAAGGAGTTTGCATTGAAATTGAGCTAGTTTAATAGCTTAAAATTCAGCTTAAAGTTTTCCCATTTTAGAGTCTACGGCAAGCAGACTGTCATCCAACAATGATTTCAAACTCAAAGGAATAGAGCATGCTGTGTCATCGAAGTCATTTCGTAGTGGCGGTGAACGTCCCTTTGGTAGCACATCCAGAGAGATGTCAATTGATGAAGGTTCAGGTAACTCCTTATTGAAGCACTGATTATATAAAATGACTTGCAAATGTTTTACCTTTGTTTTGTTAGTGGTCCATTGCTAACATAAGAGATCTGTATCTAAAAAGGTCACTGCATTTTGTTGCAGGAGGCAGATTTGCTAGCTAGGTAACTCAATCTGAATTTTAGCACTTCTACCCTTTGGCAGCTTTCGAAAAGGAGGTGTAACAATAGGATTTTTCATTTTCGTTCAAAAGTAAAGATGATGTTCTGCAGACGAAAAGAAAAGCTCAATCTTCTTCATCATAGTTAAAACGCGATTGTACTATTCCATTTGAAGAAATGTTAAAAGCGGTTACCTGTTGCAAATATTGTTTTAAAAGTTGGGGAGAGTCGGCAACTTTTTTCCGTAGCTGCCTGTGCTCTTGTAGCATTTGTTACGACCGTTTTGTTTTTATTATGTCGCTGATTTTTAAGAGATTGAGGTCCACAATGGTTTGACCCATTATTTATGTTCATGAAAGTATCCACATTGCTGTGAAAAATCCAATGGTGAGTGAGCCAATCATAGCATACTTTTCTGATTATGTCGATTAATGCAGTTATGTAGTAATGTGTGTCTAGACTAAGCGTCTAGACAAATAGCGACATGGAAACACCTTTTCCTTTAATATCCCTAAAAACTCGGTCAATGCTTAGAAGTTCCAAACAAGACTTCTAAACAAAAGTCAAGTCCTGGAACAAAAATCATACACAAAAATCAATTATGAGAGTGGCCTTTTAAATGGCATCAGATTTCTCCGAATGGTCATTGATAAAGATATAAAAAAGAAACTATATTCAGAGGATTCCTTAAAGTGCCACTGAACTGAAAAAATCAAAATTTTTTTTATTGATGTTCTAAGTCAAGTCGGTGCTCCTGAATCCGATGCTGAAGTTCCCTTTTCGGAATTGTGAAGTGTCTTGAAGCTACAACGCTTCAAAGTTGCGATTTTCAAGACTTTTTGTGCGAAAATTTGTGCGCGGCTTGTGAGGAATTTCAGGAATGTGTGACGCATTAACGTTTATAAGTCGCGGAAGTGATGCGGTCTTCAGTACTGAAGACTGTATTTCGAGTGCGATAAAAAACCAAAATAAACGTGAAGTGGATGGAAATAGTGCGATACTTGTGCTTTAAATACCACTAGTCAAGATGTCAAGATGGGATAAGTTGCCCCAGAACCTTGTGGTCAGGGGACCTCAAAAAGTAAAGAAGTTCATTTTAAATGGAATTGATTAAAAGTCCATAAGTAGCACGGTGGGATATTTTTAAGCTTCTATTCATACCCCATCTTTTTGGCTATCAAATGCCTATCTCTAATCAATTTCATTGCTGGTATACAATCTATAATGGTTAAATTGTGACAATTTACGCTTAGAGGTCTAGGACGCTGGATATCCCATCTATAAATAGCCAAAGGGGGATTCTTTTCAGGGTCAATTCATATCTATCTTTTTCAGCGTATCAAAACTGCCTATTACTACCACGTTCCATGCTGGGTTTCGCGATCTAATGGGCAAATTATGTCAATTACTGCTGAGAGGTTTGGAACCTAAGTACCCCACTCTATAAATAGCACAAGGGGGATTTTTCAGGATCAATTCATATCCTATCTTTTTCGGCGTACTCAACTGTCTTTTAACTACCAATTCCATGCTGGTTATCGCGATCTAATGGCCTAATTTATGTCAATTATACTGCTTAGAGGTTCGGAACCTAGTACCCACTCTAATAAATAAGCACAAGGGGTGTTTCGGGTCAATTCATATCCTACTTTTTTCAGCGTATTAAACTGCCTATTACTACCAAATTCCATGCTGGTATCGCGATCTAATGGCAAATTATGTCAATTAACTGCTTAGAGGGTTTGGAACCTAGTACTCCACTCTATAAATAGCACAAGGGGATTTACAGGGTCAATCTCATTATATCTTTTTCAGCGTATCAAACTGCCTATTACTACCACGTTCCACTGCTGGTTTCGCGATCTTAAATGGCTAAATTATGTTCAATTACTGCTAGAGGTTTGGAACCTAGTACCCCACTCTATAAATAGCAACAAGGGGATTTTAGTCAGCGTCTATACCCCCATCTTTTTCAAGCGTATTATCAAACTGCCTATATCTATCAGGTTCACTGCTGTATCATGTTTAACGTCAATTTGTACTTTTTATCTTCTTACAGACCTCACTATGGCTGAATGACTATATAAATCTTGAATGCGTCACTCGCACCCAAGCCTCTTTTTCGCGACGACCTACTTCGCAAAAAGAACCCAGAAACCCCTATTGTGGGCTCCAAATTAAAAAACCAAACTTTTTTCGAAATCACGATGATTAGTTGACCAGAATCAACAATAAAAAAAATTTCTTTTTTTTCAATTCAGTGCACTTTAAGTACACAAAATTGTACCATAAGATTTCGTGACATATGTATGTGAGCGTTGTTTAGCACATTCTTAGCTGTTGTTCTGCTGCTTCGATCTGGGTGTTGTTGTTACTGCAAGATTCGTTTCATTGCGAGAACAGAAAAACAGGGCCTGCAAGAAAATGAAGCTCATAGTTGTGGATGCTTCACCCCCTTGCTTGAGCTATTTGGTATGTTAGTGAGAAGTGAAATTGAGCAGTTTTCCACCAAAAAAAAAATAGGATCCTAAGGATATAAAACGCAAAAATGACAAGGGGTTGAGGCAGCAGCAGCTGGTCATCCTGCAGATCTAGCAATTAATACTTATATCAAAAGTTTTAAACCCAAAGCGTATAAAACCAAAGAACACAAGGAAACACAAAAACAACATTTAAGCCAAGGAAACTGTTACTTTTCGTCAACAAAACCGTCAGAGAAACATAAGGAAACTGTTACTTTGACAATTTTCGATGGTTTTATATTGGATACAGTCAAAACACGACAAGCCTTTTTTATTTTGAAGAAAATCATTAGGACCAAAGTTTTTTCGCAACATAAGAAAATATCCAAGAAGGCCCCGGCTTTGTTCAGTTGTCAATTAAAGGATCTATGAGAGATCTATGAATAATTGTATGGACTATTTGTAGTTGCCAAGCTGCCAAAACAAGCTACCAGCCAAAACTAGCTACCAGTTTGAATAATGTAGTTGCCAAGCTGCAAAAACATTTTTGGGTTACGCCCTTAGCAATGCAGTTAGATGGACTGTAAAAGGCATAAATTTTGAAATCAACGCCCCTGAAACACTTGAATTTGTATTTTAAGGTCTTTAACAGAACATTAATTACTGAAACACTTGAATTTGTATTTTAAGGTCTTTAACAAAACATTAATTAGTGACTATATAAAACAAATCATTAAAACAAATCAGAGTTAATTTAATGTTTAAAAAACTGCTTTTCTTGCTTTCCTCATGGCGAAATCCTTAATTACATTTTGAAAATCCATCTTTCTTGCTGTTTCACTCGCGGTGCTTAAGACGGCCAAATCTGAAAGTCGTTGCTGAGTCATTGTGCTCCTCAAAAAGTTCTTAATTAGCTTGAGTTTGCTAAATGATCGCTCAGCCGAAGCAACGGTCACGGGCAGTGTGCAAAAATTTCTTAAGGCTGTACACACGTTGAAAAAAAATCTCATCAAGTTTAAATTGGCTTATGCTGTTTAATAACTGCAACAGATTCAACGATTTGTCTCCAAAATTTGTGGATTGACCTGATGTGGACCATTTCTTCTCCCAGTCCATCGAGGCAAATATCCACTTCATATTTACTGGCAAAGATGCCACAGGCCTGCAAAATTTCCTCTTCAGACAGAGTCAAGTACTCATCGAATCAACAATTGTATGATATACATCACGCTTGAATGCCCTCGCTTCTCTGCTTTCGATTTAATCAGCTTCATCGCCACCTTCTTCGACATCTCTCCTGCTCTTGCGCTTTTTCGGAAATTCAGCCAAATGTTTAGTGAATTTGCAACTAGCTTCGATTCATTCAAAATCATTGCTGTGCAGTTCCTTAAGCTCGTCAATCAGGCTTCTTAAGTTTGAGATCTCAACATCGATCGTTGCTTCCCTTGCCTGAATTACTTGGTTTCTTTGGTCGATTGGGACAAGAACCTTCGACCACAAGGCAGACATCACCATGCATGTAAATGATGACACATACTTAATCGCGCCGTTGACTTCAATGGTTGTTTTCTGGGTAAGATTCAGCTACAGGAGATCTTCAAGGGCTTTCTTGATTCCTGGCAAATGGGCTGCAAATAGTCGGACGCTAGCACCGCGATCGGTCCATCTTGTACATGATAATCCATGTAGTGACGACCCAACATGGCTTAGTAAAATGTCCCATCTCTGTGGACTGCCCGAGAAAAGGTTGTATATAGTTTGTACCATACCAAAAAAAGTAACAGCTTCAGGACAGCATACGGTGGAATTGGTACCACAGAGATTCAACAAGTGGCAGGCACAGGGTGAGTACAGGTACAAAGGATTGACCGACTTTACATGCTGCTGAGCACCATTATATCTCCCTGGCATGTTGGCAGCATTACCATAGCCTTGGCCTCGACAGTCAAGAATAGGTATTCCGTACTTCTCCAAAGTCTTCAAAATTAAGTTAGATCTCGAGACCCGACTTCTTAAAACAGTCAACAAAGGCTAGAAATCTTTCTTGAACTGTGAAAATCTCACCGTCATTGGTAAGGTACCTAAGAATAAAGGTAGTTTGCTCTGTGTGACTTGCATCTGGTGTGCCATCAACCATAATCGCAAAGTACTTTGAGACCTTGCGCTCTTCTAAAATATGATTTCTCACTTGTGCAGCACAAATATTTATAAACTCATTTTGAGATTCTGGTGACAAATAGTGAGCCTAGAGTCTAGTCCCTTTCTCTTGTGCGGATTTCACTTTACCAATGTGCTCTTGAAGAAAAGGATCGTAACGTGCAAGCAACTCTAAAATCCCAAGAAAATTGCCGTTGTGAGTATCACCAATCTTCTCTGAATCCCCACGAAACGCAAGCC